CCTCCTGCCTCAGCCTCCCGAGTGCTGGGATTACAGGCGTGCGCCACCATCCCCGGTTTTTCTTTTTCTTTGTTTTGTTTTGTGGCACTGGGGATTGAACCCAGGGCCTTCACACTGAGCTACATCCCCAGCTTTTCATTTTTACTTTCAGACAGGGTCTCACTAAGTCGCTAAATTGCCCAGGTTGGGCTCAAAATTGCAATCCCCCTGCCTCAGCCTCCTGGAGTGATGGGATTACAGATGTGTGTTACCACACCCAGCTTTATTTTGTTTTGTTGGTTTGTTTGATACATGGCCTTAAGGCTGGCCTTGAACTCAGTATGTACCCTGGGCTGACCTTGAACTCCAGTGGATCCTCATACACTCAGCCTCCCTAGTGCTCTAGCATGCACCACCACATCCAGTGTTATTTTGTGTTTTAATTGACAAAGATGTATAAAGCTGGGAGTGCAGGCCTGTAATCCCACCACTCGGGAAGCAGAGGCAAGAGGATCACCAGTTTGAGACCAGTCTGGACTACCTATGGAGGCCCATCTCAAAACACAAAAAACAAAAATATACTTACATTTACCATGTAACAAAGAGGGGGTTTTCTTTCCCTTAAGAAGTCCCCCACCCCCACAGTGAAATCAGATTTAAGCAGAAAGGGGAAGTAAACAGTACCAGGATGGCAGAGATTTGGGCCCAGGTGAAAAGGAGAAGTGATGCCCTGACATTTTAGCAGTGGGTTGGGGAGCACCAGACATTGGCAGGCTGGAGAGGGGGCAGGCCCCCCTCCAGGGACACATCCGCCCCACACTGTCCTTGTCTTTATTTAGTGCATATGCGCAGTGCATAGTGATTGCCTTCATCGTAGGGAGTTAGTACATGTGCACAGCACACCTAATTCTCTGCACTTCCTCTTCCTGTCCCCCTCAGACTCTGTCTCTGAGCAAGTCCCCACCAGGGCCTGGGCCTCAGGGTCTCGCCCTGTCACACGGGTACCCCGCACCCCAGTGATTCTAGGATTTGGCTTCTTCTTTGGAACAAGATCTGACTGTACCACAGCAGTAGCTCACGGTAACATCCAGCTGTGGGGACTGAGCCAGTGCAAAAAGGGGAAATCACTCATGGTCTCTGGGCTAACTGTGTACACAAGGAGGGGTGGCCGGAACCTCAGACTGCAGGGAGCTGCGGACTGTGCACACGGTTTGGGGTGCACACCCACATTACAGTGTGGAGGATACAGGGGTCCTGTCCCAAGACCCGAGTGTCCCGAAGCCTAGTCCCCCTCCACCCACCCCTAGGGTCGGAGGGACAACTAAGACCCTGCTGTGGTTCGAATGAGTCCCCTCCAAAGCTCAGGTGCTGGCAATGAGATGATGGTGGAAGGTAAAGGGCTTAGGGACCCTGGTAAGGGCGCTGGTCAACTTTTTTTTTTTTTTGGTCTTTTTTGAGACAGGGTCTCGCTACACAGCTTAGGCTGGCCTTAAGCTCACTTGGTAGCCTAGGCTAGCCTTGAACTCACAATAACCCTCCTGCCTCAGCCTCCCCAGTGCTGGGATTACAGGCGTGCGCCACCAGGCCCAGTTTAAGAGCGCCTATCAGATGGAGTCGGCTCACTCCTGCCTTTCCGCCTTCTCCTACATGAGGACGTGTCAAGAAAACCATCACCAGAACTATGGGAAATAAACCTTTGTTCTTCATAAGTTACCCAGTGTGTGGTATTCTGTTGTACCCGCACTAACAGACTCAGACCCCTTTGGAAATTGTCAGGATGTGTCTGCCCCCGGCTACCCCCGCAGCCAGCAAGGGACGTTTCGGAGACTCCAGGAAACTCTTCTGCCTAGTAACCCGTGACATCACTACCATCACTTATTTTCATTGGCTCTCTGCTTGCCAGCTCTCCGTGCACTCTGGCATAAGATCTAGACCAGGGTTTTTGTTTGTTTGTTTGTTTGTTTGTTTTGTGTGTGTGTGTTGTTTTTTTTTAAAGGAAAAAACTAAAATTTTGTGGGGAAAGGGAGGCCAGACACAGGAGAAGACAACTCTCACTTCTTGGCCTTCCCAAGGAAAGAGGGACGGTAAATCCACTCGTCTTCAGAGTTGTCCGAGTTCGAGCGCTCCGTCTTCATTCCCTTACCTGACACGCACCCCCGCCCCTCTGCAGTCCTCTCGGTTCTGGCCCCGCTCTGCCTCCCACCACAGGAGCACAGGGGTCCTGCCCCTTCCACCGCTGAACCTCAGCTTCTGAGAAGCCCTGGGGATCGAGAGCCGTGCAGCCCGGATTGCAGTCCTGCCTCTGCCACTCGCTTAGCTCTGGGACCACGGGGAAGTCACTCAACCCCTGTGCAGAGGTACAACCGGGCGAAAGAGTCAACTCAAACGTTGTTACATGAAATAAGAAAAGGTGAAGCTTTTAGTTCCCTATCTAGCACATCCGTTGGTGCTCTGTAAATAGAACTCTGAAATGTTTGTTCCCTGGTTCTGGTAGAGTGCCAATTCTTATCACACCCTCTTTTATTTCCTCTTTTGCTCTGCCTGCTTGTGGAATTAAAAAAAAAGTAGTTGGTCAAAGTCAAGAGCCAACCAGAACTATCAGAAAGCATGACACCAATGTTGCTAGGCAGAAGTCTTCACAAGAAGCTCTGAATCAGGGTCTGGTCTGTAGTGGCCCAAGCAACAGGACCAGGCCACTTTTAGAAACAGTAACTGAAGTGAAAAACAGACAAGGCTTTGACAAGGGAGCCCCCTCTCTGAGTCCAGCCCACCCGGTCTGCAAGTCTGGGTGGCCTGAGCTCAGGGGGTCTCCCCTCCCCTCCCCACCGATCCTGCCTCTAAAAGGGGGCCAGGCCACAGAATGAGCTCAGGCTGAAATCAGACTAGTCCTGGTTCAAATTCTACCTCCAACACTCACCACCTAGGTTAACTCGGGTAAGCTGCCTACCAGACTGGACCCCAATTTCCTTTTGTGTAAAGAGGGACCTAATCAATGCACTGAATGTGGAGGGCAACTGTGACCATTTAAGATTCAGTTGAGCTGTCAGTCTGATGTGTGGCAAATAATCATGGTGATAATAATGAGTGGGGGCTGGCGGCGAGTGCACGAGGACGGGGACTCTTACCGTGGCTAGGATTACTGAGACCAGGGTCAGGCAGTGATTTACGCAAGGCTCACACATGACAGCAGCAGAACTTGGCCCAGAATCCAGTCCCCACAGGGGACTCTGCCCCTGCCATGGACCGCCCCCTCCCCCCCACTAGGCTTTCACAGGCCGCTGCTCTCATAGTCTCTCTCTGCTTACCTGTCCTCTGGGACACACTTCAGTTCCTCAGAACATTTCTCAGCGACTCTCCCAAGCCCCTGTCTGCCTGGCAACAGCTGACGTCACACCTAGCTGCAGGTCTCCACAGATAGCCAAGGACTTTTTAGAGACTGGGGGAAGTGAGGACAGGGAGCAGCTAGATTCTAACCCCCTTCTGGGGCCTTGCTGGGAGGAAGTGTGGGTGAAGCTGTTTGGGGGCTGAGAAGGGGCTGGGGTTCTTTGGATGGCTGTGTGGGCCTCTTGCTGCAAGGAAACAGGGCACAGACAGGCTGAACCCACATCACCCCTCAGCCCTCCTCCCACTTCTGTGAGCCGCAGCTGTGATGGCTGGCACACACCTACCGGTCTGACTCCCTTGAGTGGACCCCTGTGCCCACACACAGTAACGGGGAAACTCCTCTGTGAAGAGCTCTGATGCTGTCCTCTTTTAGTCCTGCCATCCCCTCTTGGGTATTTTTTGAGACAGGTTCTCACTATGTAGTTCAGGCTGACCTTGAACTCACTCTGTAGCCCAGGCTGGCCTCAGCCTCACAGCAATCCTCCTGCCTCAGCCTCCCCCACCATGTCCGGCCATCCCCTCATTTTGAAATCTGTTTCTCCACTGGGATCCAGAGTGTTTCCAAAACTAGTCCAAGTTTTCTAACCTAAGGTTCATGGTTCTGTAGAACCCCTGATACTGACGAAACTAGGAAGAGAATCAAAGGCTCTCTTGTGATTTGCAGAAAGGGGCGCAAACCCCTGCCTAAAGGAACCCTCGTTTTACAAGAGGAGGAACTAAAACCCAGAGTGGCCCAGAGACTTGCTTATGTAAAGTCAGCCAGAAAGCAGTGTTGGAGTTGGCCTCAAACAGCCTCCCTGGACTCGGACAGTGCCCCTCCTGGCACCTATGCAAGCCTGTGTGCTCTCCCCTGGGGCCACACATACCCGTCCTGGGCTCCAGGGCGCTGGCCCAGCATGGGCAGCTGCTCATGGTTGGAGATGAGGTCGCGCTGGTCTTCCATGGCTCTGGCCTCTGGTCTTCCCCACAGCTCCTGACGCTGTTGCTGCTGCTGCTGCTGTCACCACGGCCTCCTCCGTGTGTCTGGGACCCTGAGCCCTGGCTCACCTCTTGAAGTTGGTGCCGGGGAGGAATCTGATTCGTCCACAGGAGGCAACTCCTCCCACTTGGCAGATGTGGAAGTGAAAGCCACCAAGTTGGAAATACCCCACTCAGGCAAAGCTGCCTTTCTCGGGCCAGGATGAGGAAGGGGAGCTCCAGGCAGGTAGAAAGGCCAGCACAACCCCATTGGCTGACCAAGGTCCGCATCACTTGTTTCTGGGCAGACCTTTGGATTCATAAGGCCCTTTGAATGTCTCTGGAGACTGGCTAATGTTGGCTCCCTAGACAGGAAATCACTATGAAGCAGAAATTGCCTTTGTCTCCCCTTCTTAGAAAAGGGAGTGCAAAGAGGGGCCGTGTGTCCCCTGTGAGCTTAGTCAAGTCCTTTTCTCTGGCCTGTTATATCCTCCCAAAATGGAGGAGGAAGGATGGACTGGGCTTCCCCTCTGCTCCCCTCTGGGCATCCATGGTGCTGATACTGTGGTGCTAACATCTGCCACCACCCAGCAGCCCTCCGGACTCTTTTATTTTTGCCTGGGGAAGAGTGTCCTTTTTCCTCCTTCTACAGGGAGCGACACCGAGGCTTAGAGAGACTGTGGTGTTTGAGGAGTCTGTAACTGAGCCACTTCGCTCTTCTGCCTCTGAATCCTCAAACTGTGTGGCTCAGATGCAGGAGAACAGGCCGCTGCAGGGAGCGAAGCAAGAGGGACTGAGAAAGGGTCCCGGAGAGTCAGCTGCATTGGTGAGGCGTCTTTGTCTCACACTTACCCCTTGTACACCTCAACATAATAAGAAATATGTCGGGGCCAGGCATGGCGGCACGCGCCTGTAGTCCTAACACCCTCAGAGGCTGAAGCAGGAAAATCACAAGTTTAACTCCAGCCTGGGCAATTTAGGGACTTGGGGGGCCCCTGCCTGAACATAAAATTTAAAAAAAGCCAGGGGTGTGTCTCATTGTGAAGGCCCTGGATCCAACCCCCAGTACCAAGGGAGTTGGGGGACCAGTCAGGATAAGTAAGGGTTCCCTGAGTGAGCCAGCCCTGGGGAGCAGACACCGGAAAGGGCACGAGCCTGTCCTGAGGCACAGCCTAGAGGAACCTTCCCTGGGGAGTGTGAGCATCGGAGGAAGAGTCTGAAGAGTCTCTCTTGGGAAACATGAGCGATCAGTGGGCGACCCCGCAGGAAGCCCTCCTGAAGAGAAGCTGTCTCTTAGCTGACGACTTCCATTGGAAATGCTAGAAGATCAAGGCTCATGAGACAGCTAGACAATGCCTCAACGTTCAAGAGAGGAAACACAATCAAATGGAAAAAAACACCATGAGGAAATAAACTGTCCTTAATGTTAAAGCCTGAGAGGGATAAATGACGATACTGCACCCTTGCATCAGGAATAGGATTCACTAGGTGAGATAGTCTTCCTATAATCCTGGCACTGTGGGAGGCTGAGGCAGGAGGGACCCTACCTGGGCACCTTAGTCACTTAGCAAGACCCTGTCACAAAATAAATAAAGAAGGGCAGGGAATGTAGCTCAATGTGAAGGCCCTGGGTTCAATCCCCAGTACTGGGGAGGGAGAGATGCTATAAAGATGTAAGTACCATAGAAGAACAAAAAGGAGCTCTTGAAGATTAAAAACATGAAGGCAGATATTAAACAATCAGCAGGTGGAAGATTTTCTTTTAATCTCCTAGAAAGTAGACCACAAAGATAAAAGGGGAAAAAAATCAGCGAGAAAAGATAAGAGAATTAAAGACTAGCATAGAAGAACTAACAGCCAAATACCAAAGTTCCAGGAATAGAGAACAGAGAAAATAGAGGCAGGAAAAATCACCAGTGAAGTAATTTAATACAGTTTCTAGAACTCAAGGAGACACATTTTTTTGAACTGAAAGGAACCAGTGAGTAGCAAAGACATTAAAATAATTTCAGCTGGGCCTGGTGACACATGTCTGTAATCCCAATACTTGAGAGGCTGAGGCAGGAGGATCGCTGTGAATTTGAGGCCAGCTTGGGCTACAAAGTGAGTTCAAGCCAGCCTGGACTATATACTGACTGAGGCCCCACCTCAAAAAGACAAATAAATAAAATCATTTCATAGCAAAGCACATCAGTGTGAAGTTTCAGAAAAACAGAGACTAAGAGAAGATTCTGTAAATTTTTGGAAAGAAAAAACACGACAGACGCAAAGAATCAGGAACGGAAATGACTTCAGACATCTTAACAACAACACTGGAGCGATGCCTTTAAAGTCTAATTTTTACTTGCTGTTCCTCAGACAGAGGGCTAATATCTAGAATATATGAAGAATTCAAAAAAATTAGACCTCCCAAATTTAAAGATCCAATCCATAAATAAGCATCTGATATGTCTAAGATAAAAAGTACAAACAGCAAATAAATACATGAAAAAATGTTCAGCATCACTGGTCATTCGAGAAATGCAAATTAAAACAATGCTGAGATTCCATCTCACTCCAGAGAGAATGGCTATCATTAAGAAATCAACCAGTGCTGGGCGTGGTGGCACATTGTCTGTGATCCCAGCACTTGGGAGGCTAAGGCAAGAGGATCATCGTGAGTTCAAGACCAACCATGGGCTACAAATTCAGCTCAAGGCCAGCCTGAACTGCATAGCAAGACCCTGTCTCAAAAAGATAAAAAGCAAACAAACAAGAGATCACCCAGTAACAAATGCTGGCAGGACTGTGAGGAAGAAGGAACCCTTCTCCACTGTTGGTGGGAGTGTAGACTGGAGCAACCACCATGGAAATCAGTCTGGAAATTCCTCAAAAAACTGAAACTAGAGGTTCCATTTAACTCAGCTATTTTCTTGGTATCTTCCTGAAAGAATTAAAGGCATCATTCCACAGCGATACAGGCACACCCATGTTTATAGCAGCACAATTTGTCATAGCTAAATCTTGGAAACAGCCCAAATGCCCATCAACATGAATGGATTAAAAAGATGTGGTTTTTATACACAATGGAGTACTACTGAGCCATAAAGAAGGATAAACTTGAGACATTTTTAGGTAAATGGATGCACCTTGAAGACATACTTTTAAGTGAAATAAATCAGACAAACATGTTTAAATATCACACTGTTGCCAGGTGTGTTGGCACATGCCCATAATCCCAGCACTTGGGAAGCAGGAGGATTGCCATGAGTTTGAGGCCAACATGGACTATGTAGTGAGTTCAAGACCTTCCTGGACTACACAGCAAGACCCTGTCTCAACAAAACAACAAACAAACAAAAAGTAAATATGCATTGTTTCTCTTGTGTAAGAAACCAAAAGCAGCCCTGCGAGGTGGTGCATGCCTTTAATCCCAGCACTCCGGAGGCTGAGGCGGGAAGATCGTTGTGAGTTCGAAACCAGCCTGGGCTACGAAGTGAGCTCAAGGTCAGCCTGAACCACATAACGAGACCCTGTCTCAAAAAGGCAAAAAGAAGAAGAAGAAGAAGAAGAAGAAGAAGACAGTGGAAAAAAAAGACTATGAGAAATAAATGTTTAAAATAAAAAAAAGAAACCAAAAGCACAAATAAGGACCCAAATGGATGATAAATAATTGGGAAATAGGAAGAAAATGTTCAAATGGGAAGGGGAACAAGGGGGGAGAGGAAGGAAGGAAGGGAATAATAATTAAGATGTGTTGTGTACAATGTACAAGCTCCCTACGATGAATATAATCATTATATACTGCATACATGTACTCATAACAAATTTTTTTTTTTTTTTGTCTTTCTGAGACAGGGTCTCACTATAGAGTTCAGGCTGGCCTTGGGCTCATTTTGTGGCCCAGGCTGATCTCGAACTCACAACAATCCTCCTGCTTCAACCCTCCAAGTGCTAGGATTACAGGTGTGCACCACCACACCTAGCAACTAATAATAACTTTTAAAAAATAAAGTCTAATGGGAAATTAATCTTCCCTGAGCCAAATTACCAAATATGACACATCACGAAGATTTTTTAAGAATTCCATTCTCTTGAAAATGTCTCCTTCCACAGCACTCTTCCGCAGGAGGCTTCAGGAAGGTGTGCACCACCATGATGGAGTTAACCAAGAAAAGAGGATGATGCAATACAGAAAACTAAAACTCAGCTCCTGAGGAGCGGGGACCCCAGGGGGCTACAGTGGAGCAACCCCAGGGGAAAAGCCCCAAAGGCCTTTTCTTTGACAAGATAAAGCTGACGGATATCTGACATGCCTGAATGTACCAACGGGCAAGTTAAGCCATTTTTGGAGACTATGCAATTGAATTATGATAACTTCATAGAAAATAAAGCAAATGAAAAACCAAGACCACTACTAACTCTTGGGGAAACAGAAGTTATATAGGAGCAGGGCGTGGTGGTGCACGCCGGTAATCCCAGCACTCAGGAGGCTGAGGCAGGAGGATCGTTGTGAGTTCAAGACCAGCCTGGGCTACAAAGTGAGCTCAAGGCCACCCTGAACTGAATAGGGGTGCCCTTTCTCAAAAAAAAAAAAAAAAAAAAAAAAAGTTATATAGGAAATGAATAGTAAACCAAGTGTACTGTGTTCTTCAGCTGTATTATTTATATTGTCATAATACTGTAAATAGTGAATAGCAATTTAACCACATGACAGAGGGAGATGGAAGGAGGAGGCTATGGAAGAGGGACACGGGACAAGGGAGGAGAGAGAGCTATCTCTTCCTTTGCCACAGGGAAAGCCAACTGGATAATGTCAAAATTGGGAAACCAGGAAGTAACAGGGCAACCCATTCTGGACCGCTCCTGTCTCTCGGGGGCTATTTCTATTCCCCATTCCTTTCCCCAGTAAATTTTCCTACACTTAAAATAGAAAAACTGGATGTGGTAGCACATTCCTATAATCCCAGCACTTGGGAGGCTGAGGCAGGAAGATCACTGTGAGTTCAAGGGCAGCCTGGGCAACATAGAGAGCCCCTGTCTAGAAAAAAAAAAAAAAAAGAAGAAGAAGAAGAAGTAACAATACTGAAAGTGAATCAGAGATATGGAAATAAATAAGCACAAGAACTGGCTGGAAAAGTTTGAAAGTGACGTGAAAAGGAGAATAACGACCTGGTATTTTTCACAGCAAACCTCATGGAAGTATTTGATTCTTTAAACTACCGTCTGTGAATTCATAACTTTGATCCAAAGGAAAACTAAATTTAAAGTAAAGAGAAAATACATCAAAGTCGGTCAGTTCTAGGCTGATCGTGACAGAACGGCAGTCCAGAGCCTTGTCCTTGTGAGGCAATGTTGGAGCAAGCTGACCTCAAGGTCCCTTTGTTCTCACCCTCAGGACCTGAGACCACTCAAGCCCAAGTGTCCCAGGCTGGGCTGGACCCTGGCTGCCTCCCACTCCGAACAGGATAGAAGGCCCCAGATTCCCAGCTGTCACCAGGCCCACGGCCCAGGGGAGGAGCTGTCCACCCAGGCCACCTGCGTGGGAAAAGAGACAAAGTGGCAAAAATCAGGGAATTTGGAAGCCAGGTCCTAATAGGAAGATGAGGTGAGGGGGAATCCAGCTCCCCTACGGTTCATGGGAAAAGTCTGAGTCAGAGAGCAAAAGGGGACTGACCCATGGTCACCCAGCAAGGTCCAACGAGCAGGACCTGCCCCCTGCCGCATGACATGAGCTCAAGGCGGGCTACCCAGGGTCAAATCCCAGCTTCCGAATGCCTGCTTCCCGGGGCTTGGAAAGGGAAAACACAGAGAATGTGAGACCCCTTCTTCCTCAGAGTCCGGAAACACTCTGACTCCTGGGGTTTGTCGGCAGGACCCAGGAGCCAACTAGAGGGGCCACAGCCAGCCAAGTACGGGGCAGTGCCTCAGTTAGCATGACTTACCTGGCTCGGTAGAAGGAACTGCAGCTCACTGTAATTGTTGAGGGGAAGCTTCACATGAGAATGGACGTTTTTTGCATTCTTGCAGAGGAGATGATAGAATTAGAAAAATCATCTGTCTTGTAACACTGAGTGTAACAATCGATCAGAAGAGAGCCAGGAGTGGTGGCACACGCCTGTAACACCAGCACTGGGGAGACTGAGGCAGGAGGACTGTTGCAAGTTCAAGACCAGCCAGGCTACAAAGTGAGCTCAAGGCCAGCCTGAACTACATTGCAAGCCCCTGTCTCAAAAAGACCAAAAAAAAAAATCGACTGGGACAGGTTTCACCAGTGGGTGATGAACATGGCGTGGAAATGGGGGAGAACAGCAGTCTTGCGCTCAAGGATGAAGCCGAGCTCCTTGCCGGTGCCCCCAGGCGAAGGTGCTTCGGGACGGTGAAAAGGGGGGCAGCCCTGCTGTCATGGCCTCCAGCGAGAGGTCAAGCAGTGGGACAAGCTGACTCTGAGGCTCCTGGTAGAACAGTTATGCTCAGCAACAGCTGGGGAATATCTTTGCCGATGGCCCATGAACCCGAGCCTGCCTTTAGGCCTCAACTCCAGCGCACAGTAAACACAGGAGAGGAAGGATGTGTTAAGTTACAGATTGCTGAGTCGTTGTTACCCTGACACCCGTGGGGAGTGGTCTCTCTCATAGCATAGGTGAATAGTGGCGCTGTGATCCTCTCCAAAATTCCTCCGTATCCGGGGGTAAAATCCCCGCTCCACCGCTTAGCAGTGTGAATTGAAGTAAGTAGCTTAAGTCCTACGTGCCTGGGGCTCCTTCCCCGTAACGTGGGCTCAGCTGCGGAGCACAAGGATTGAGTGAATAGACACATGCCCGCTACAGAGAAAAAGTGCCATGTTGGACGGTCCTGTAATACAGTCTTGTTTTTTCCTACAAACTTGTTTAATCTGAATCTGGCACCCTGCAGGCTTGGAGGCTTGGAGCTGTTTAAGTGGGACAGAGGGGACCTCACGCACCCTGTCTGGGCCTTGCTGGGAGTCTGCTCCCAGGTGTCATCCAGAGCTAGTCCAGGTCACAGGCTGAGCCTCCGGCCCTCCCTTGGTCTGGGTGGTGCAGGCCCTGGGTGGGCCAGGCAGGCCCCTGCGACCTCTCTCCCAGTGCTCCTCTCTGGTCCCTAAGTGCCCGGTGAGCCACCGGAAGTGGCAGTCCAAGGCCAGCCCTGTCCCCTACCCTACAAGGTGGTGACTTCTGTAGGGGGCCTCTTTGGACTCCAGCACACTTTGGCTATGAATAAGGGGCTCAAAACAGGGCTCTGTGTGGTAAGGGAGTGGGCCTGTGTCTGCCATACCCGCCCATACAAGTTTACATCTCCTCTCAGTCATTCAGCCAACAACTATTTTTTTCTTTTGTCTTTTTGACAACAAAGTTCAGGCTGGCCTTGAGCTCATTTTGTAGCCCAGGCTGGTCTCGAACTCGAACTCCTGCCTCAGCCTCCCGAGTGCTAGTATTACAGGCGTGAACCACCATGCCCAGCTTTTGTTATTATTTTTGAGACAGTGTCCCCCTATGCAGTTCAGGCTGGCCTTGAACTCACTGTATAGCCCAGGCTGGCCTTGAACTTATGGTGATCCTCCTGCCTCAGCCTCCTGAGTGCTGGGGTTAGAGCATGTGCCACTGTATCTAGCTTCAGCAACTATTTATTGAGCTCTACTTGGTGCCAGGCATTCTTCTGGGTACTTGGGATACATGGATAAGCAAGGCACTGTTCCAGGTGCTTGATGCTGTCAGCAACACGTGACTTTACTGTCTGGGTGGAGACTCCATCCTAGCGTCAGGAGACAGACAAGGGAGTTGTGTGAAGGTGAGGCAGCGGTGGTGCCCTGTGGAGAGGAACCGCTGGAGCAGCAGGGTTGGGCAGGCTGCCATCCTTGCAGGCTGCTGGGTTGGAGCTCTGAGCACAGGCTCGGGTGAGGCAGCTCACAGGGCTGCGTCTGCAGAAGAGGACTTGGGCCGGAAGCAGCAGCCAGGCTGAGGGTGGGCTTGGAGTGGCCGAGGGACCAGGAGGCCAGCGTGGGGCCGGAGCACATCAGCATGTCTGGTTTCACTCTGAGCGAAACAGGAAGTCAGGCTGGGCATGGTGGCGCATGCCTGTAATCCCAGCACTGGGGAGGCTGAGGCAGGAGGGTCGCCGTGAGTTCGAGACCAGCCTGGGCTACAAAGTGAGCTTGAGTCTTGAGGCCAGCCTGAACTACATAGTGAGACCCTTCTCAAAAAGACAAAAAAAA